CTAATTATAGTTAATTAATATATATTTAACTTTATTAAATTATTTAAGTATAATAAGTTGAATTAATTTAATATAAACACCCTATATATATTAGTATTTATTATTTCCTCGCCCCCACCATTCCTCGTCTTCTAAATCTTGCTTCAGAAGTTTGATTTCATATATTACACTAATAAGGCAAGTATATTTCTGATAACTGGTGCCGACGTGAGCTTTTCCAATTTCTTGCTTCATTCCTTCCAATTTCTTCACAATGTCGTTCATTATTTTTCTAGTCCACATAGCTTGTTTGATAATACATTACTGATCATCAATAAGTTGTACTTTAACCTGTATCACACACAAAATTATACAGAAAGACAGAGACATAATTTGATGTTTATAAGTTCTGAATTCTATTATTTTAAGTTAATAATTTTTAAATTAATAATTTATACATATTTAATAAATTTTAAAGATAAATACAAAATTTGAATCAAAATTATTGAATTCGGCCGAACACGCAGACAAAAATAGCTTCCCCTGGAATTATCTACATGCTGTGTTGGTTTATAGTCACAATTTGTCTTGTAGTAATTAAGAAGGAATCGATGTATGACTGAAGATTTTAAGACTTTATTTCACGTAACGAATTGACATTTACTTTCTTTGTTTTCTAGTATAAATGGAAAACATAAAGGGAAAAAGAGGGAGGAAAAAAACATGGTAATTGTCCTTCTCAATAGTAGTTGAAAAAGACATGAAAAGAAGTGAATACATTTAAATCTCATGCAAGTCGCTCTTCTTAATTAATTCCCTGTTTACCTCCTTCTAGGCGAAGTTTCTTTCATTTTCACGTTGACTCATAGATTGTGTGAAATAGAAATGAAATGGAACGGAGAGTTGTTCATATTGAAGTTTACGCTTTAGATAGTTACATAAACATATTGCAAAGTTATTAGGTTCCCACTTTCTACTTAAAACTTAAGAAAAAGGGAGAAAATTGAAATTGGTTCGATGTTAACAGTATTTGTGAAGATTGCAACTCACGCTTTATTTTGTTTATACTAGGGATTTAATCGTAATTTCATATGTAACTAACATGCAGGTAAAAGTCGCGCGTAAAAAAATACAAACTGATAATAAAATTAGACTTTCATATACGAATTTCATTATTTCGTTTGTGACAGCAAGTTTATGTCCACACACCACTTATGGGAGTAGTTAAAATATTCACAAAGTATATGGTAAAACCCCTATATTAAAAGCAAAACAGGATTACTCTTCTAACTAAAATTTATGAAAATAGAAAAATTCAATGAGTAGATGGGGGACTGACCAATACATCTACGTAGAATGTTCATGGTTCGATTTGGATCGATTTTCACCTGAAAAAAACCAAATCAATTAAGTCGATTTTTAAAATTTTGAAGTCAAACCGAGCCGATTAAGTCTGTTTTTCATTGGTTCAATTATGTAGGTTTTTGCGGCTTTTTGTCAGCTTTTTTCTTAAATATGACATACACTGTCAAGCACTTATTTCGGCAACTACATTCCAGCATAACATTATCAAACCAATTAATGTTTGAGAGATTTTTCATTTACCAAGATATATTGATGTTATTTGAATTAAATAGTGATGGATACTAGTATCAAATTTGAGAAAAGAGGACATAAGCTAAATTTTTTATTTTTATTTTACGTTTTTTGGAACATATTAAATTTGTGAAAATAGCTGTGTGTGATTTTAACTTGCAAGAAATGACTGGGATCAGTGATCATCAATGTATAATCATATATATGTTTTTATTTCAAGTTCATAATACCAATACCATTCCTTCCATCTTCAACCATACTTTTGAGATAAAACTACCGTTTTCACTCGCTCTTGGAAAAAAGAATAACTACTAATAGCCTGTTTGGACTGAGAAATCAATTTGTTTTGATAAGTGTTTTTTTCAAAAGTGTTTTTGAAAAAAGTATTTTTGGAGAGAAGTAGTTTGTATTTGGCTAATCACTCTAAAAAGCACTTTTGAGCAATAATTTATGTTTGGCCAAGCTTTTCAGAAAGTGTTTTAAGTATCAAATTAAGAATAAGTATATGAATAGATTTACTTAATAGTTAATATTATAAGTAAATAAATAATCTTAAAAATTAGTTATTACATGCAATAATTAAATCTTTTTATTTTATTTGAGTAAAATATGAAAATAAAATTTAAAAGTACTTTATTCTTTTAATATAAGTTAAATATATTAAAAATCATTCAACAAATATAAAAGCATTCATCCCTAAAATCACTATATATTAGAAAGCTATCCTAAAAATAATAAGAAATATTTATACATTAATATCCTAAGTATTAGGTTTAGTGGTTATTTTGGTATATACTATATTTTGTTAAGGGTATTTTTGATAAGAAGAAAAGTCAAAACTGTTTCTGCAACTGCTTTTGGGAAGAAGCTGCTTTTTTCTGCTTCTCAGAAAGTGATTCTGCTTCTTCCCAAAAGCATTTTTTCCCCCAAAAAGTTTGGCCAAACACCTCAAGTTAGGAAAAAAGTGCTTTTGAGGAAAACAAATAGTAAAAATAGCACGGGCTAGCCAGTTTTCGGACTGGTAATTGAAAAATAGCCAGTGTTTGCAAAGTCATTAAAAAATAGTCACTATTTTACTGCAACACGAAAAGTTCCAGCATAATATACTGGAGATTGGTGCACCTGTGTATGAACTTCCAGCATATTATGCTGGAATTTCAACACGCGGAAAGTTCCAGCATAATATACTAGAGATTGGAGCACCTGTATATGAACTTCCAATATATTATGCTGGACCGATATATTATACTGGAACTCCAGTATATTATGCTGGAGTATTTTTCGGATTTTTGATAGTATTTTCGTTCAGTATACTGGAGTATTTTTCGGATTTTTGATAGTATTTTCGTTCAGATTTATCTTTACATGAAAAGTGGCCAAATTTCGATTACTTTTGAAATTGTGACTATTTTTCAATTACCACTTGTAAATCTGGTTATTTTTGAATTTTCCCCAAAAAAATACTTTTGGACTCGTGAGAAGCGGACCCAAACAAGCTATAAGACTTTAAACATTAGAAACAAGTTAATTGACTTTACCTTTTGAACTTCCAATCAAATTCATTAGGAATATATGGAAGAGTTACATCATTATTAAAGAGGAAAAAGAGTTGATAAAGTTACTAACTCTTGTCCAGCATGATCTAAGTAGAATTAAAGTACAATAAGGGGTCGTTTGGTTATATGATTAGGGAAGTTATTCCAATATAAAATTTGAGATAACTTTTTGTTTAGTGTTTGTAAATTACGTGTATTAATTAAAACTAGAATACAATTTACACTAAAATCACGAATTACCCTATAAAACATAGAATTATCTATCATGATTATAGCGAGGACTATAATTACAAGATTAATCTTGAGATAACTTAGTTTTGAAACCAAACTGCAGCTAAGAAATTAAGTTTTACAACAATCACTTGTAATATTTGAAAAGTAATTCAGCAACACACGCCTACATTGTTAGTAGGGGTGTATATATTGTCACACCTCTTTTTTTCCGAGGGTAGGTTGTGTTGGTTTGGGTTTTGTAATTACTAAATCAATTGTGCCGAGTTATTAAATCTAAAGACAAAATCAAACCAATAAACTCGGATTTTTTAATCTCGGTTTTTCTCAATTTTTCGGGTTGTTCGGTTTTTTTCTCTTTTTTCTCCAGTAAAATCTTCGTAGCACAAAACATATAACTTGTGCTCCAAATATTTCTTTATTCCTAGTGAGATACAACTATATAAGGTATTTTCCAAGAAAATAATACAAAATATGAGATGTGTCATGGCAATATCCTAAAATATTCAACAATAAAGATAATAAAATCACGTAATATAAATATTGCTAATTAAAAAACCATAATAAAAATAACATAATCTACAAGTACTAAGTCATGCTAAAATAAATAGACTAATAAGGGAGTATTAATTATATGACTGGATGCTAAAAATAATTAAAAATAGGTTATGCATTTTTATGTAAAACATTGCAAAACAGAAAATAGATATTCAACACATTGTCATTTCTAATATTACATTAAATTTCTTTTGTTAACATTGATATTGATTTAATTTTAGTTTGAGCTTTTGTTAGCATTATTTGAGTTACTAATATTAATGACTATAAAACTTATTGGAATATTCAAAAGTTCTAAGTCCAACATTGAAATAATACCTTAAAAGCTAAAATTATGAAAAAATTTAAAAAGTATTTATAAATTAGATCATAATAAGTATATTTATATATTAAATATATCTAAAATTTCTATATATGTATCGTCGGATTAGTTTGGTTTTGGTTTGACTTTCTTTAGTTAAAACCAAATCAAATCACTTATGGTCAGATTTTTTTTCAACACCAAACCAAATCAAACCGAACCGTAGTCGGTTTGTTTTCTCGGTTTGAATCGGATTATCGGGTTAATGCGGTTTGTCATTTTTTTTTGTACACCTCTAATTGTTAGGATCGAAATAATTAGGTGTTATGCAGAAGCTAACAAAATATATATTTAACGACGATAAATTAGACAACAAAAGAGAAATATATAAAAATAGATACTAGCATTTAACATGGTTTGTTTAATTGATCTATGTCTATAAGTAGAGATGAGCAATCCACTATATAAAAGAGAGTATAAAAATATTGAAAGAATAATATCACAAAGCGAGACACACACAAGTAGCAGACTAATACTTGTCTCAAAAATTCTTCCCTTAAATAAGACTCTGAAACTCATTATAACTATATTGTGGATGCTATTAAACGAGAAGGTTCTCAATTTATAATAGTTTGAAAACATTCAAAAAAGACTAACCAAATAAAGAAAAAAATTGTATTTTACTTTTGGTAAAAGGTAAAATAGCACAAACATGACATAGGGTCCCAAGAGTCGACGAGCTTCCTTGGCGCAGTGGGTTTTCAACAGTCCAAAGCTTTCCATCTACTCTATAAATCCCTCAAAAGTCGAGACACAACCTCTCATAAACTGCTAACACTTCTCTGGTATAAGCACAATCATACTTTTCGAGTTGGGTAAGAAGTGAGTGATCAGACGTTAATGGCGACGGCAAAAGAGCACATTGAAGAAATAAGAAGAAACAAGTTCTCCATTGGAGGTGAAACTAATCCACTCACTGAGGACCTTCATCAAGCTGTCAAAAATCTCTCTGCTGAGCTTTACGCTAAGGATGTTCACTTTTTCATGGAACTCGTCCAGGTTATTTTTTCTTTCTCCCCTCTCTCTGCATTTTTATATCTTTTTCCATCTTTATAAACGTCCGTGCCTCTACTATTTCGCTTATTACCAGCAAAATGTATTTTCATGAAAAATATTTTGTCATACTTATTTATCAAATCAATTTTTTTTTTTTTGGGTCATTTTTTATTTTATAAAAGTATGTATGATATGATCTCCTAATAAATGTACAAGGACATAATGTTTTGGCGATGCTCTTAGGCATTACAAATTGATTATAATGTTTAAATATTGATTCAAACATTTGCTTCTCATAAATCATTAAATAATTTTATTGTTGAAAACAAATTTCAAACATCAAGGTATTTATACAGAAAAAGGGTTGTTGGAAAAAAGGAGCATAAAATAGTGTATTCGGTACGAACGAGAAATCTATCCTTACATGAATGATGAAACATATATTTTAGAAATGGTTTTAATTTAAGAAATCATTTTGTTAATTAGTTTTTGTTTTGGCCACAAGTAGTGTTATAAAGTACGAAGATGTTTGGATTGTAATTTTGAGAAAGGTTAACCATGTTTGAGCAAGGCAAGCAATACAAAGTGACAGTATATTTTTTAAAAGAAATCCAATATTACCATTTCTCTTTTTCTTAAGTTTTGTAATTAACCTTATAATAATAGTATAATTTTGAGCGTAGTAAATTCGTAATAAATAGTTGTCATTGTGTAATTGCAGAACGCGGAGGATAACGAGTACAACGAAGGCGTGGATCCTTCACTGGAATTTGTGATAACTTCCAAAGATATAACGGACACCGGAGCTCAGGCGACGCTTTTGATATTCAACAACGAGAAAGGATTCTCCCGCAAAAATATCGAGTCCATTTGCAGCGTCGGACGTTCTACTAAGAAGGGCAATCGCAAACGTGGCTACATCGGCGAGAAAGGTAATAAAAAACTTTGTACAATTTTCGTCTACTACTTGTACCTATCCATGGGCATGTGTATATCAATTGATTGTTCCTAAATGTTGACTCTTCGTTTTACCCCCTATATATGATCGTGTGTTCATTTTTGTGTACACTTGGCTCGGGCTTTTTTTGCTTTACTAGTTTAATTAGTGAAAATTTTGAAGTGCTGCTGCTCTTTGTCATACCTGCTGGTTGCCTTCATGTTTCATTAATCTTTAATGTTATTGATAAATATTTCCTCCTTTATGTTTAGAGAACTTATAGTTGTAGAGAATTCCTAATTTGTTTTTAAAAGGCTGTTTTGTTGAATTGGAATGAGTTCGGCCTGAATAGAGCAGAAGGAATATAAAGCTGAACCCAACTTGTATGGGACTGAGACTTTGTGAATTAACTGTTTTCTTTCCCCCTACATTTTGAGCTTGACAGTCCAAAAAATATTTTTTGAGAGATAATTTCTTTCATGTTGTGACTTCGATAATTGGAATCCAAATAATCAACTGAACCATGTCTGTTTGAAAAGAGAACTGGGTTGTTCTAAAAAAAATAAAAGAACTGGGTTTTAAGCTGATAAAAAGGAAAACCTTGCTTTCATTGCTATGAAGTGCTATATCTTTTTCTCTTTCCTCTACCTTATCACATTTTCCCCCTCTTTCCTCTACACTAAAAAGAGTTGCAAGAAGGAACAATGATATCTTATTATTATTTTGATAAGTGGATCGATGGTACCTTTTCTAGATAATGTTAGGTTTGTTTCCTTTTAACCTCATCTTCCATCTTTTTCGTGCCTAAAAGATATGTCTACAAACATTATATTTCAGTTTACATCCCAGCATTGAGATGCAGGTGATAGTCCTGCTTTGTGTTAGTCTCCCATCTTTAAAATATCTGACACTCCAATGTTTGGATATGTGCACTCAAAAGAGACCGCGAACATGATTTTTGAATGAAATTCACTTTAGTGGAGTAGAACTGCTAACAATTTTCTCCCTTCAGATACTAGCTTAAAATGTATTCGTTTCAACTTAAATAAGTCATGTTCGTTCTCATGGATTTTATGCCTGCCTGTCGTTATGATGCTTCTTCATTTCATATTACATTTGCATTTGAACAGAAAATCGGTCTTTCTATACTTTCTTGATCAATTCCCAGCAATGTAATGCATTCGCATATGACTGATATTCTTATGTTTTTCTTACTTAATTGAAGATGCGTATACCTCGTCTGTAGTTGTAATTTGTTTCTAAAACTTCTTGGTGTGTTTCTTCTCTCAGGCATTGGCTTCAAGAGTGTGTTTCTCATCACTGCGCAGCCCTACATCTTCAGCAATGGGTACCAGATACGATTCAGCGAGGAACCTTGCCAGCACTGCAATGTAGGCTATATTGTACCTGAATGGGTGGAGGCAAACCCAACTCTTTCAGTTATAAAACAAATCTATGGGTCTTCTGCTACCCTTCCAGCCACAACTATAGTGCTACCACTGAAACCTGACAAGGTGAAACCTGTTAAGCAGCAGCTTTCAAGCATCCATCCTGAAGTTCTTCTCTTTCTTTCAAAGATAAAGAAACTTTCTGTCAGGGAAGACAATGAGGATCCCAGGCTTAATACCGTTAGTGCTATTTCAATTTCAAGTGAGACCGATTTTGTTAAGAAGAAGAACATTGATGCTGAATCCTACATGCTCCATCTCTCAGCTGACGAAAAATCTGGTATGGGGGAATGCAGTTACTACATGTGGAAACAGAAGTTTCCTGTTAGGCGGGAGCACAGGGTGGATAGAAGAATGGATGTCGATGAGTGGGTAATCACATTGGCTTTTCCCAATGGAGAGCGCCTCAACAGGGGAACCAGTTCCCCCGGTATTTATGCTTTTCTTCCCACGGAGATGGTAACAAACTTCCCTTTCATAATTCAGGCCGACTTTCTTCTAGCATCATCAAGGGAGACAATCCTTCTTGATGACATATGGAACCGGGGCATTCTTGACTGCGTCCCTTCTGCTTTTGTCAGTGCTTTCACATCGCTTGTGAGAGCTAATGAAGGTGCTCCAGTTTCTACTCTTACTCATATGTTTGGCTTTTTACCAGTCAATGCATCTCCTTATCCAATTCTTAACGACGTGAGAGATTCCATTAAAAGAAAACTGCTGGATGAAAGTATCATTCCATGCGAATCATACATGGAACAACAGTTCTTCCAGAAACCCAATGGTGTTGGTAGGTTGAATCCTGCTTTCTGGAATCTGCTGAACAAGGCGAGGAAGCAGGGGGTCATATTGCATAACATCTCATCCCATGGAAGATTCATCGTCAACTCTGCTTTTGATAAGGAGATGTACAACCACATTTTAAACTTTTTGGAGGTGAAACAAGTTGACAATGAATGGTATGCAAAGTGCATTCAGAGTTCCAATCTTGTTTTGGGTGTCTCAGAGGATGTTTACTTAGAGCTTCTATCATTTGTGGCTGAGAAATGGTTGTCTTCTTTCAAGACAACTGAGATGATGAACATAAATCTTTTGAAATTTGTTGATTTTGATGATGATGTGGCCTTGTGTAGCATATATGAGGCATTGAATGATGATTATTCATTGCTTTTGTCTCGGGAATCTGGTCACATCTCTTGGCTGATCAACTGGAACTCAGAATTTCGTTTTGCCAATCATCTTTTCTTTGCCAAATCAACACAAGAAGCAGTCCGGAGTCATTCTAAAAGGCAGACTGTTTTGGATTGGCTTAGAGACGAGGTCAATGTGAGCTCAGTAAATGTGTACGACTATGCTCTTCTGATTCTTAACTCACTCGGTGATGATCAAAAACTTGCCGTGGCGTTTAGCCACTTCTTACATCAGTCTCTTGCGAGAAATTATTTATCTAAAGAACAAGTTGCTACTTTATGTAGTAAAATGCCGCTTGTTGATAACTATGGACATGTTGCCAGGCAAAGGAAAGGGGTACTGGTGCCTGCTAATGGAAGTAAATGGGTGCAGTTGATTGGTTCAAACCCGTGGAGATATGAAGGCTATGTTGAGCTTGGAGAAGATTATTTGCATTCCGGCAGCTATGCTGGAGTTTGTACCAGCAAGAAAGAGCTTCTGGGATTTCTCAAAATTTATGTTGCAGCTATGGACATTCCTGACTTACCTCCTCCTGATGCAGCAATTTCCAGCTTGTCTTCTCCACTAACCAAGGAAAATGCATTGCTGATGCTAGCATGGATTCGTAAAATGAAAATGAATGGGTTTTCCTTGCCTAGAAAATTCTTGACCTGCGTAAGGGAGGGAAGCTGGCTGAGGGTATCTCTGAGTGGTAGCCCTGGCTACAGGCCTCCATCAGAATCATTCTTCCATACTTCATCATGGGGACATCTGTTGCAGAATGGATCAGTTCTTGTAGATATCCCATTAGTTGATCAGGGATTTTATGGCAGTGAATTAAAACAGTACAAGGATGAGTTAAGTACAGCTGGTGTCATGTTTGAATTTAAAGAGGCGTGTACATATATTGGAGAACATTTTATGTCTCTGGCAACTTATTCTACTTTAACCAAAGGCCAAGTGATATCAATACTCAATTTCATCAAGTATTTGAGGGAGAAATATCTCTCCCCAGACACCTTCATTAATAGCATTAATGATAGAAGGTGGTTGCGGACTACTCAAGGTGAGAAGACCCCTCTGGAATCTGTTTTCTTTGACAGCGAGTGGAATGCTGCCTCACAGATCAGTGACATCCCATTCATTGACCAAAAACATTATGGTGATGAGATTCTTTCTTTTAGAACAGAATTGGAGCTGCTTGGAGTGGTTTTTGGTTTCAGGCAAAATTACCAGCTTGTAGTTGACAACCTGAGGTCTCCAGCACGCCTGGGTTGCCTGAGTTCTGATGCTTTGCTCTTGATACTTAAGTGCATTCACCATCTGAGGTCATCTGACAAAATATGCAGGGCACTTAGGGATAGCAAATGTATGAAGACCGTAAACATGGGGTGCAAATCTCCGGCGGAATGTTTTTTGCTTGATCCTGTGTGGGGCTGCCTGCTGCAGGTTTTTAGCAGTTCCCCTCTTATTGATACAAAGTTCTATGGAAGCGATATCTTGTCATATAAAAGCGAGTTGCAGAAACTAGGGGTGGTTGTTAATTTTGAGGAGGCAACTAAAGCTTTTGCTTCTATTTTTAGGCAGCAGACAGCGAAGGGTGCCTTAAACAAGGATAGTGCCCTTTCTCTTCTTGCAAGCTATAGAAAGTTAAAGGCAGCCAGCTTTAAATTTCCTTCAGATCTTAAGAGCTGCTTTCAAGAGGTCAAGTGGTTGCGAACTCGAATTGGTGTTGATAGAGAACCTAAAGATTGCATACTCTTTGGTTCAGATTGGGAATCTATCTCTTCAATCTCTCTGTTACCTTTTGTTGATGATAGTGAGGCTCGGTATGGAAGGGACATTCATGAGTACAAGGATGAACTTAAGAGTATGGGAGTTACCGTGACATTTGCAAGTGGGGTAAAGTTTGTGCCTGCAAGCCTTCGATTACCTGAAGACGCTAGCGTCATTACTGTTCCAGTAGCATTCTCGTTGTTAGACTGCTTGCGGAAGTTGGAGATGGGGCATAATGATGATCAGATTGCTATGTTGCGGTCAAAACTTGCTAGAAAATGGATGAAGACTAATGCTGGTTACAGGTCTCCAGATAAGTGTTTGTTGTTTGGTCCCCAGTGGAATACTCTCTTACAGCCAGAAGATGGTCCTTTCATCGATGAAAAATTTTATGGCTCCAACATAGGGTCGTATAAGAAAGAGCTGAAGTCTCTTGGTGTTGTGGTTGAAATTGGAGATGGATGCTCATTGCTTGCCGATTACCTTGATTGCCATTCCAGCAGCGTTACTATCACTCGGATTTACAAGTACTTGAGTAAGTTCAACTGGGAACCAACTAAAGAAGATCCTATAAACATATGGATTCCAAATGGTGATAACGATGGAGAGTGGGTGAATCCTGATGATTGTGTTCTGCATGATAAAAGTGGTTTCTTTGGCCGGCAGCTGCATGTTTTAGAGAAGCACTATGACAAGGAACTGCTCAGTTTCTTCTCCAAATTAGGTGTCAAAAGCAATCCTTCTCTTGATGATTTTCTCAAGCTTTGGAAGTCATGGGAAGATGCGGACCGCAGTTTGTCACAATCAGAGTGTCAAATCTTCTGGGAGTTCATTGTGAAGCACTGGAGCTTAAGAACCGAGAAATTTCTATCTGAGAACTTGTCAAGGCTTCCTGTGGGTTCAGGCTCGGACGGGCTATTGATGCTCGACAAACGTGATGTTTTCATTGCTGATGATCTCTATCTGAAGGATTTATTTGAACAGTCTGCTTCTCATCCCTTGTTCGTTTGGTATCCGCAACCAAGCTTGCCATCTTTGCCTCGGCAGAAGCTGCTTGAAATTTATGGCAAAATTGGTGTTCGTAATTTCTCTGAATCTGTTCTGAAAAATGGCTTGTCTTCTGTTAATTGTGTTGGACTTGAGCAGGTGCAGCCAGAGGAAATCTTCATCGGAAAGGGTTTGATTAAGTTAATCCTTGGCTTCCTTGCTGATCCTTCACTTCAAATGGAAACGCGTACGAGACATGAAGCTCTCAAAAGCCTCGTGGATGTTAGTATTTTTGTGACATTGGAACCCATAACCATGGATTACTGTCTGTCACTTTCTTCTGGTGATGTCGTGAACGTCAAAGTGAGCCGAATGATGTGCTGGGATAGAAAAAATACAAAGATCTTTATACAGAAGCTGGACAAATCAGGTGGTTACAGATGTAAGCTCGAGTTTGCTACATATTTCTCAGAAGTAGTAGCCGAGGGAATTCTAAGGGAGAAAGATGATTATGTGCATCAACTGGCTGAATTGATCAAGTTGGGATTCATCCTGGAATTCGATGAGGCAGCTGTTGGGTTCTTGATGAAAACAAAGAATCTGCAGATATTTTTGGAGGATGAAGAATTCCTTTCTGCTGCCTTCACTTCCGAATAGGTATTTATGGGCACTAAATCCACCATCCCCATTATGCACCCCCCTTAATGTCTTTGTAAAACTTTCATTTTGCTTTTTGGTAATTTCCTGAAATATACTATTGACATGTTTTGGTATTGAGGTGGATGATGGATTACCTTACTTTCCAACATATATCATAGTTTTCTAATGGTTCTGGATGTCTTTTGTTGGTGATGTATCATTAACCGAAAGGAGCTCTGCAATTTCTTTTGGCTCTCTATTTTCTGCTATCGCCTTTTGAATTATTATTCTGAGCCGAGGGTTTATTGGAAACAGCCTCTCTACCTTCACTAGGTAGGGGTAAGGTCTGCGTACACACTACCCTCTCCAAACCTCACATGTGGGAATATACTGGGTATGTTGTTGTTGTTGCCTATTGAATTCATTATTATGCTTTACCGAATTCCAACAGAAATAGCATAGAGTTCATATGACAATTTGTTGTGTGACATTATTTTTCTAAACATCAAATAGAGGGGGTTTGGCAGGATATTGCTTCTCAGCAGAGGTAAATGCAACACCCCTTTTACAGGTACCACAGGTGTATTCCCTTATATTCAGGCCATTTATTAGTTATATTGTTAAGATTGGTGGAGTGGGAACAATCTATGAAGAAAAAGGGGTGTACCCGTTTACACCGAAACTTGTCAAAGAAATTCTGAAAGTTGTCTTAAACAATGTTAAAACTTGATCATCTACTTAACTCTCACTTCCTGATGCATTCTCTCTTTTAAACTGCATAACACCAGGCCATCAAACTATTTTATGGTATAGTTATTTGAGATGGTTACTAATCTATTCACTGTTGGAGATACAGCAAAGGATTAACTAACGTGACATGCTCTATTTGTGCAGGCAGGAAGAACTTTACGGTTGGGTGAGGCCCTCTATAGATACCAAATGGGATTTCTGGTGTTTTGAAGTCTCTTGCATGGATATTTATCTTTTGTTATAAATCCCTGCTAGTTTTTAATGCTTTCTGTTTTGTAGTTTGCTGCTCTAAGGTTTTCTATGTAATCTACTAAATTTGCACTTAGAGATACAATTGCTTAAAAGCTTTATTATTCCTCTTTTCCATGTTTTTAAGATTGGTCCTCTCCATCTTCATACTAACTCTTTTGTTAGCATGCTTATCCACCATAATGTGGTGTGTGTGCATGCTCGTGGCATTTATCGATTGGTCTTTAGCAACAAACTGTAACTTGGAATCCCTTGCTTGGAATCAATTGGTCTTTGTGTTTTCTTTTTCTGTTTGATAATATTAAGCTGAGTTCTTAATTTACTGATTTTCATATACATCCAGTTTACAAGGAGACAATATAGCCAATAAAGAATAAAGGATAATTAAAAAAAAAAACAAATCTGGTGAGTGATCAAGCTGGTGCTTTTCCGGGAAGAAGATGGGCGCGGTCGGGGGAGGAGTGAGCTGCAGAGCAACATGATCGAACGTTCAACAGATTCTTAGGCAGCGCTCTTCTAAAACTCTTCCTCTTCCTTTCTTTCTCCTTGACCACGGGCTCCTGTATGAAATGTGGGATAATGATATCAATCTTTTTGGTTTGTTATATGCCAAATACTGTTTGGTTCTGTTTATGTTTTGCTATTCCAGTTTTTGTTCATCTTTCATCTTTGGTTTGTGTATATACGAAGGAAGATAATATTCCAAACCATTTACATTTGACTGAAAGAATCACATGCATACCTTTGTTAATGGTTGTATGGTAGCAGCCATAGGTACAGTTGGTGTGGTAGCTGCAATTGGGGTTGTGTCCTTACATACATCCTTCTTACCTGCATGGCACATTAAATGGTAAGAAGGAAAAAAGTTTAAACCTTAGAATTAATTTTTGACATTATCAGTGTAATTTAACTTGCTCTAACATGCCAATTCTCATTTATTTTAGGATACAAATCAATATTATTAAATAGATATATCTAAACAATCTTTTAAGTGAACAGATTGCGTTAATACTATTTACATCATGAATCACGAAACACAAATTCTAAGATAGAGCTAGGAGAGTCCTCTTTCCGGTTGGGATAATTTTATTTTACATGTGGCAAAAGATCCATATATACATTTAAGTATGGGCAAACCGCGACCGAAGTTATTTATATCCTACAGCCGCAAAAGTATATAATATATATATTTTTTTCCTATTATTTTGAGAGAGACTATACAATATTATTTTTTCTTTTAAGCAAGTCATATAAAATGTCATTTCTATGGAATTATAGTGTTATGGTTGCTATCTCTTGATAATTACTTAAAAGAAAACATACCAATATTAACTGCGTTCTTCTTGTCTTCAACATTGTTATTTGTGAAGTAAACTCTAAAACTTGGTGAACCAGGACAATTATCCTCCTCAACATGACGCTTAATCACCCTATCATCATCTTTATAATTGTCATCATCTTCAACATCTCCATGTTCCCCTTCTTCTTCTTCCTCAACAATTGCTTCTATCAATTTTGCTACCCTTTCCTTTTCTGCTTCTACCTTTTTCATATCCTTATAAACAGACTCCTCCTTTCTTAGACTTTCTTTCTCATACTCGTCTATGACATGATCAGAAAGCAATTCTTTCTTAGAAGGTGTAGACTGTTTGGACGTTCGTCCGTTGATACGCCTTTTTTTAATGTCATCTAAGCGATAAAGGAATTTTGGGGGGATCCTAGTTGGTGAGGCATTTACCTTAGATACTTCACCACCCATTTTTCACAATATTGCAAGACAGGTTAATAACAACAACAAGAACAACACTAACTCTATCACAATTCCAAATAAGTTATGGTCGCAGGTTACAAAAAGTTGACCGCCAACGTAAAACTAGTCAATTTATGATAAAGCTGGCAAAAAACAATGAAGGTAAAATGCAATTTGAGGAGGATTACTAATCAATCAAACAAGTTGTTGAAGGAATAGTTGCATGCTTAGGTAATGAAAATTTGTAGATTCATAAACTTATTCTATATTATNAAACTGCAGGTAATTAATGATATAAGGGTTAAATTTAATTATCCGCCTTCAAGAAAAAGGCGTCTAGGGCATCCAAGAAATGCATGCATATATGTGTTCTTAGTTTTCACGACGACTAATTTTATAAAGATGGAAAATGAAGAATGGTGTTACACTTTCTTAATTATTTTGCATATATGTTTTGACTGTTGGAATTTCTTTTGAAGCTAACGAACATGTGGATGAATTTGCACATAATTTCGGAATGTTTAATTTTACTTAACATAAAGCAAAAATGAAAAGATAGCAACTACATTTTCAAAACTAAACCTAGTGAATTTTATGCGTGCGAGGTGGGAGAAATGGCAGTTGGAATTCTGGATAAGAACAAGAAATCCACCACAATTCCTCTTGGTTAGCAAGATATTTCGTATATTTAGAAAGTTGAATTAGAAGAAACCAATCCTTCGAAATCCAAATGGTTGGTATGTGAAACATGTTCGAAGGTAATTGAGATTTTACTGAGTTATTAGATTCGTTCAATCGTTTAATTAGTTTTGAGAATGTAATGACTTTTAAAGTAGGCGTGACCGGTAATATTTCTAAGCCTTACTTTTTACTGCTTTATCCTCTTCAATTTCTAAACCCAAATAAATGATACATACCCTAAATATGATGAAGGGGAAAAAAAATACCTAACTTATTTTATTCCGAAGTCAAGAAAGTGGCAGTGGGAGAAGGAAAATAGTTTCGGAGATTGATATTTCTTACATCGCAAATGAAGCAGGATGAGGATCGCCTATGATATAATAGTGGTATGATAAACCATTTACATATTATAATAGATAATTATACACGACATAAACTATGTATCGATTGCACCAGATAAGATATCATGTACCATGTATAATCAGAAATATCAATAGTAATAATTTATGATGTATTGCATATTTAATTAGAGATAATGGAATAATAATGGAATAATTTCATTATATATTTACAAAATAATTTGGTATATTACATATTTAATTATATAAAAGATATAATAGTGGTATAATGTTTATTCATATGTGTTTATTTATGCATTTTTTCTAGGAAAAAAAATCAAGATTCATTTATGTTAATAAATCAAATATTAAAAGTGATATTGTAATCATGAGAGAATATTAGAGCATGATTGGAAAGCCGTCTAGGAATTGGATTTGGATCCGTCTAGGAATTGGATTTGGATATAATTGAGTGTAATTACATAATTTGGCATGTTTGTGTGGCCAAGTAATTTACTTGGTCAACATGGAATTGAGTGTAATTGGAAAGATGTAATTACACTCTCCAATTCTCAAGGGAAGGTGAGAATTTGTGGTAATTACACTGTGTAATTGCATGGTTACTTTTTAATTTTTCTTTTTTCTTTTTATTTTAATTTATTTTTTTGTAACTTTTTATTTCCATTTTTAAAATTTATTTTGTTTTATTTTTTACTTTTAAATTTCTTTTTTAATTTTAAAATATATTTTTAGTTATATATTATTTATCTTTTATTTCTCTACCTTTACTTCTTGTGATTCCATATAATTGCTCGTATATTTTATTTCTTATTTATTTTATTTTCTTCATTTAGCGTAACTGCTTTATTATTCTAGTTTTTGATACTACACTTCCTAATAATATTAGAAATAATGTGTCATTAACAAACTTGGCATATAATAAGTGATATTATTAAAGTAGAATTTCGTTGTTTAATGAGGTTATAAACTTATTATGTTTCCTAATTTTAAATTGTATTGGAACTTATTTTTATTATGTTGGAATTTGACATATGTTAAACTATTTTTATTTTGGATTTTGAAATTTTGTTATATTTATGGTTCCAATTTACTTGTTTTAGTAGTATTGACTTGATATTTCACATTGCATATTGTTCATTTTTTTAGTTAGAATAGATAGATTAGTTTTGTCAAACATTTGAATAATGTTATCACATTATATTTATAAATATTAATTAATTTTATAAAACATGCATTTCATGATGTTCTTACAAAATATATTTTTTAAGTTTTATAATTAATTAAAATAAATATTATTATTTTGAAAAATATATATTAATTATTTTTACAACGTTAGTTATAAATATATGACTACTAATTAATAAATATTCAAGAGAAAAAAAATATGCATCTTAAAGACCAAATCTAATATCATTTATACTTATAAAAATCAATTATAGGCTTATATTTACTATATTAACTTTAAGTTTTGATAATTATTTCATTTAAAATTTAATCTAATTTTATAATTATACTTGTGCAACCAAACAATACACTTGTAATTACATTATGACAAACAAACATGTCGTCGTAATTACTATATTGTGTAACTAACTACTAGGCTACGTAATTACTATCCTAGTAATTACACCAATTCCAATTACCGGGTGACTTTCCAAACATACCCTTAACGGGGAATACATTGATAAGGTCCAAACATACCCTTAACGGGGAATACATTGATAAGGTTAAAAGTGATTCCTTAATTTGAGGGTCCGTATTTAATTTCTAAACCTGTTAACTACCATACGTACAGCAATCATGTCCTACAATTGTTATCAAATTTGTTATTTTTGAAATAAACTAAAATATAGCAAATGGCCTTCTGTAGCGGAAAAACATGTCCAGATCATTTGTAACAAAAATACACGACTCATAGTATGAATATGCTTGCTGGCTGTTTTCTCTTATGAAAAGAAAAGTCTGTTCACTCTAGCTTTATATTTTTCTTTCAACAGAATTTCCTAAAGCCAGCGGGAAATATTTTTTTGTGCCTCAAATTAATATGTGAATGGATAAATAAAGTATCATAAGTAGGGATATAAATTGAGAAAATTACCCAATCAGTCACTCTATAAACTTTCCCAACCAAAAATAACCCAAAACAAAATATCTATTAAAAAGGCGCAAATGTCATTTTTGGCCCAAATAGTTTCAATTAATGTCAGTTTTTGTATCCGTTATTTTTGTATACACACA